CACACACACACACACACACACACATATATATATTTAAGTTTTTTCATAACAATACAAAATAGTACTGATGGATGCAGACCCCCCAGTATGTAGTAAAACAATAGAACCAGAATATTGGTTGCTTCCCGGTCAGGAGAGTGGGGGATGTGATCAGGCATGGGTACTAGCGGGCTTGTTATTTGTAAGAAAAGGGCTGAAAGCAACAACCACACGAGTTTGTGTGGGCGCAGCACCCCCGGGAGCGCCACCATGAGAGCGAGGGGAGCAGCAGGGGACTCGGGTTCTGTTACCAGCGCCAGGCGCCAAGGAGGGAGGGGGTTTGGGACTGGATCATGCAGGACTTTGAATGGCAAGTTGCAGATGGGGAGGGGTGCCCCAGCCAGGCGGATCCGTTGGTTGGAGTGTCTCCACACACCAAAGAGGTGGATGGTTCAAGTCCCCGTCAGGGCACATACCTAGATTGTGGGGTTCCATCCAGGTTGGGGCGCGTAGGGGAGGCAACGGATGGATGTTTTTCTCTCTCTTCCTCCCTCCATCTTTCCCTTCCCCCCTCTCTCTCTCTCTCTCTCTCTCTAATCAATAAATATATCTTCGGGCAAGGATTTTAAAAAAATTTAAAGGAAGATTGCTCTGATAATCCTGTACAAAATCATCAGGAACAGAACGTGAGCTTTTGTTCATCAAGGGCCAGTCAGGGGTCTGTGAAACAGTCCAGGCAGATGTAAGGTGATGAAGGCCTGAATCAATGAGGTAGATGTCCAATGAAAAGAAAGGGATGGATATGAGACAGTCTTGGGGAAAAAAAGGGGGGGCGTGGCGAGCAGAGGGAGACTGGCAACTCTATGTGACTAATTAGACGTGGAGGTTTGTGATCCTGTTGGGAAGGGAAATCCTATTCACAGAGCCTTCCCTGGCTCCTACAGGATAAAGTCCATACTCCTAAAAATGATAAATACAAGGCTTTTTCTTCACGGAGTCCCCTCACTTGTCCTCTCTGCCCCATTGTGAACTTTACACAATGACAGTATTAAATGACTCGAGATTCCCCCAAACGTATCTTCTTGGTTCCGTCTCTGTACCTTCTGTTCCCTTGACTTGGAATGACTCTGGTAGTTCCCTTCCCTCCTGCTCTTGGTGAACTTCTAATTATTCCTCCTTCAGTCCTGAGAAGGCTTTGCTGACACTTTATCCAATTCCTCCCCCTCGCAGACAGTCCTCCCACTGTACTCCTCCTTTATCTTACACTGTATCTGTTTTTCACACAGGACTGTTTGTATTTCCATCTTTTCCACTAGATTAGAAGGTCCTTATGGACAAGGACCATGGCCTTATTCATTCCTCGTGTCTGTCACATAATAGATGGACTAGAATGTGAAACAACACGAAACAAGTACAAGTTAGTGTGCTCACAGGCCCGTGAAATTCCCAGCCGGATGGGAATAAGCACTTTATCATAGATAAGCAAGTGCTCTTTATTAAAAGTAGTCACCTTGGGATGCTGGAAACTCTTTTCAAAAATAACATAGCCAAATTGTTTTTGGAATTTCCCTGTGCAAATATGTTCAGAGAAAGATAATAATATTACTTTTTATTGGCTGATGCATAGAGTTATCAGTTTGATCATTCTATTTACTTACTAAATACACTTCATAATAACTTGGCTGTACATGAATTTTAAAAATCACCTGCAAATATTAGATGTATCATTATTAAAATACATTCAAAAGGATGTAAATGTAATTATCCCCAAAGAGCAGTTCCAGAAAGACTGTGGCTATGACATTACTGTGACAAGAGGTTCACAGTTTCTCGAGGTGATTGTTTTGAGGAAAGCCAATATTACGTTAACTTACAACCTTTTTGCATCTATTATAATTAAACTTATTGCATACATTCTCATAATGACAGGAGGAGTAAAGAGTAATTGTTACAAGTGAAAGTAGAGGCTGTAACTGAAAAGGTGTTTTTAAAGACATGTTTTGAAAGAAGTTATGGATATAAATGGCTAAACACAAAACAAAAAAAAAAAGGGAGCTGAAAATCAAGAGAAGAAATTGGAATCGGCAAAGACTGAGAGATGAGAATAAGTTCATCCAACCCATCAACCGGCATTTGGATGAATATTTACCACAGGCCAGATCCTGTATGAAGAGTAGAGGTATAAAGAGACAGGTGTGACAGCTGAGGGCCTGTGAGTCCTGCCCCAGCCCAGGGGCGGTCAGGGAAGGTTTCCAGGGCAACTGCAACAGCTGGACTAAGAACTGGAAGACCAAAAGATTAATCAGGTAAAGAAGCAGAGATTTCTCATGTTTAATGATCTAAGCTGTCCCAGGCAAGGGAGCAAGTATAGAGGCAGGTGAACAGTAGAGCCCAGAGCCTGGTCCCAAAAGTAGGAAGATAAGGACTTAGGCAGGGGCTGTGGGAATGCAGAAAAGATGGGCATTGGCCCCTGAGACTACTGATTGCTTCAATAAGAGAGGAAAGGTCGATCAAGGAATTAGCAAGGACTTCAATATCTTGAGGCATGATGGACATAGGAAACACAGGGAAAGGAAAAGAAGGTTAGATAGATTAGATAAGCAGGCAAGATAAGACAGCAGTGTGGCCAAAAGCAGGGAATCTGTCTTGTAGCAGCAGGGACTGTTGACGTCTTTAGGGAGAGCTGGGAGTAGTGGGACTGATTGAAAGGATGGACTTGCACTGAAATATGCTTCTGTCGTTGGCCTCTCCCCAAATTCCATGGTGCGCATTTAGGCGACCATTTCACTATGTCCCTGATCCCGATCTGAAGCCAGAGGGTCTTATGGTGGTGTCTCAAAACTCAAACAGCAGCTGAGGACGTGAAATGCCAGGAGCTGCCTGGAGATATTAGCCCCAAATGTACTCAGCAGTTTCATTGCTCAACTGGATTGGGAATGGTCTTCCCAAGAACAGTGCTCCTAGTCAAAGCAAGTCCTACTTTGTAGGAGAAATTAGCAGGAAAATATTAGGTGATCCTATAAGCTAATCATAGCTGTTGCCATTCCTTAAATTCCATAACTTCACTGATACAAAGAAAAATGGGATCGCACAAACTTTCATCTGAAAAAAAAAATCTGTGTCCAAGCTCAAATTAAAATGTACAGACCATTAGCAGTAGAAAAACATGAAAAATGAAACACTAGTTTTCATTTTAGTCAAAACTAAAAATGCACACAAAAGTCTTTACTAATTGAAACTCACAGGTAAAATTGCCTCTCAAAACCAGAAATGCAGAATTGGGCACCTAGTTGTTCTCATGTCTGTTCTCTCAGATCCAATGGGCTGTAAAAACCCCTCAAGGGTAGGATCCTGTGTTATTTATTTATTTTGCCCCAGTTCCTAGCACAATAGTTAGTACACGTCTGTGCTCAATGTATGTTTTAAGTAAACATACATTGAGCATCTATATCTCTATGAATTGGAGAGAGATGCAAAAGTGACAAAGTCTAGGTGTTTAGGAGAATCCCAGGCTGAATCAGTGACACTCTAGATCAGCCGTGGGCAAACTACGGCCCGCGGGCCGGATCCGGCCCGTTTGAAATGAATAAAACTAAAAAAAAAAAAAGACCATACCCTTTTATGTAATGATGTCTACTTTGAATTTATATTAGTTCACACAAACACTCTATCCATGCTTTTGTTCCGGCCCTCTGGTCCAGTTTAAGAACCCATTGTGGCCCTTGAGTCAAAAAGTTTGCCCACCCCTGCTCTAGATGTTGTAGAAGAGGCTCTGGGATACATAGCAAGCATTGGTTGAGCTGCTCCACACATCTCACCACATACCCCAGGAACCCAGGGATGTGTGATGAAGTGTTTATGGAAGCAGGAATTAAAATAATGCCTTGCATTCGTGCAGTGCTTTAGGCTTTCCAGAAACACTTTTAAGTATATATCTCATTCGATTCTCAAAGCAATCGTGGGAAATAGCCAAGCCAGTCATTATTATCCCCATTACACAGATGAGAACACTGAGATAGAGCATAAGTGTCTGCCCAAGGTTAAATAAGTAATTAGTGACAGAGCTGAGATAAAACCCCCAGTTTCTGACCTCTGATTCAGTTTCATTCCATTCTGTCCTTGACCGTGTGAAGTACATTCAAGACGATTTTTAGTGTAGGGACTTCTGGGCAAAGGTCCGCCAGCTTCTTACGACTTCCATATTGGTACAGAACAGCTGGCCCACTGTAATTACAAAGCCTAAGTAAGCACATGCATTCTTTGATTTAAAAGCATTTTTGGAGAGTTTACCCTCCGCAAAGCACATCCTTGACTCTGTGGCAATACAGACATGTATCAGCCTGCACCTCAGAGCATTGAAGAGGCCACAGAGCATTGAGGAGGCCAAGGGGACAACACGCCAACAACATAACTACAGCAGAGATAAGGAACAGGGCTAAGGGGGAGTAGAGAGCACTGTGATTCATTCTAAGGCCACTTCCATTGTGTTCGGTCCCCAGCCCTTGAGATATGAATGAACTGAGATGGCCTATGCGACTAACCTGTAAGTAGTGTAGACAAGAGCCACCACTTGTTTGTGTTTGTAAACTCATAGGAGTTGGTTCCTTGCCTTCCCTAGAGCACAGAGCAAGTGCATGTTCTGAGAGGTCCACCAGGTTCCGCTACATGGAGGACAAGTTCTGGAAGGCAGGAGTCAATCTCAACGTCAAACTACTCTTAGAATTAGGAACCATTCCGACCCTTTAAGTGAGCATCAGCACCATGGTCTCTGCCCCAATGAAGAGTGTAAGCAATATAAGAAAGTGTAAGTTGGGCTTCTTGACATATGTTTGCCCTCTTAGGCATATTATTGTTTCCATTTAATATCAAGGAGAGGAAAATTTAAGCTTGTCCTTATACAACTTACTCTTCTCTTGTATATGTACTATATGATGAATGGTACCTATAAAAGGTACCTAGGAATCTAAAAGTCTCTGCTATCCGTGAGATAAGCAGGAAAGTTAGTATAGGAATGCTCACTTTAGCCTTATCTGACTTAAATTTTCCTTTTAAGTATTTTGTGCTGGGAGGGATTACACTTCAATCCCTAAGTCAATGTATACTTTTAAAATGTAATGATGTAAAAAAGGATTGGCCTGTATGTATCAGGGTATCTCCCCAACTCAAGAGCAGCATAAATCCACAACCGTGTAATTATGAAACCACAGTGATACTGGACGAGTTGCAGTGCCTCAGTCACTACAATGGTTATGCAACTCTGGCTATTTGTGAAATGTTAAGGTGTTCTCAGAGACTTCAGTTGTTTCTACCCAGCATGCTCAGGTTCTTCCCTCACAGGTTAGCCGAGAGATTCTTGAGCAGTGAGGTTCAGACATATAGTTTCCACCTTAAAGAATGGGGGGGGAAAGATCTTCATCCTATCTGAGGGCAGATCACATCTGAGTCCCCCCGAAGCAGAAGAAAAGAGAACACTTGTGTGGAATTGAAAATGATTAACTAAGTGTGAGGATGGGGGCCTCAAAAGTAAGGTAAAGAAATCCCATTTTTAAAAGTAAGCACTAAAATTAAGCCTCCTTCTAAAGTAACTCATCAGGAGATAATTATTGGCTGGCAACTGGTATTTATAATAGAAGCGTACATGGCCTTAACGATAGGGTTTGCTTCTGAAAACATTCTAATTAAAAAGGGAAAGAGTGATTTTATAGGAAAGTACAAATCAGTGTTGTGTATGTGTGCTAATGTGTGCAGGGATGGAGGTGGTAATTGCTGGGCTGTGGTGCGTACGTGTGCTAATATGTGCAGAGACAGAGGTAATGGCTGGCTCGGCGCAGGTATCTGTTGCTGAAGATAATGACCTTGTAAATGTACAAATAGTTTCCAACAAAGCTGAAAATACATCATTATTATTCACCAGTGTGGAATGGAATGTGAAATTGGAACTCAGCAGGTGTGAGTGGTGGCTGTGCCTGGTCGGGATACCAACTTGTTTTTGTTTGTAATTATTCTGATTTCTGCACTAGAATTTGTGGGGGTGATCACACTGTAAGGTATAAAAATGTGGAATCACTATATTGCACACCTGAAAACTAATATAACCAATATCACATTGTATACCAACTATACTTTAATATAAAAAATAGATTAAAGAAATAAAAAAATAATGTAATATGACTACGCTATTCTCTTGTCCAGACCACTGGCCAGGTCATTTTTCTGCACATCTTTGATTCCTTTCCTCTTATCACACTCACTAAAAGTCCAAACAAAGCAAGAAGAACAGATGCCAGCAAGTCAAAGAATGCTTCCCACATTGAAATCGACATCTGGGTCCAGGAAAGGACACCTCATGGCTGAGAAGAGCCCTGTGCACAGTTCACACCTCTGTTGGTTTCTTTTGCAAGATATAGTTACCTCAAAAGAGCCTTCCTTAATTGAACTCTTATGGTCCTCAATCCTCGTCTGTCTATAGTCATTTTTTAAGTAAGTGAAGACATGGATAGGATGAACACAGACTGACTTATGTAAACTCCTGGAATTAAGAGACCACCTTCAAGTTTCAAAAAGACAAACTTGGAACATGCCAAAGGTAGTATAGTTCCTTACTCATCCACCACTTACGCTTTTGAGGAGAAGAGGGGAGTTGGAAGAGTTGAAGAGAAGAAAACCAGGGAAGAAGAGCGGGAGAGAAAGGTAAAAGGGTGCTCTGGAGGGCATGCACCTGTTTAGACATGGGGAAGCTGCCCGGACACTAGCAAAAGAAGAACCAATGTGGAGTTCCTCCTTGCACGTCTCCCCCTTCCCTCCTGAAGGCCTGGGGTGAACCCACAGCATTTTTCGAGCGGTGAGAGAGAACTGCCCTCAGACACCTCCCTGAACTCCCTCCCTCCAAAGAATTCAAAATGCCCCCAGTCCAAATCAGTTCCCCCCATGTCAATAGTTGTGCATAAAAATTATAATAATCACATTAATACAGGTCAGAACAGTAAATATTTATGGAGGGCTTACTGTGTGTACCTACTTTATTGTTTGCAATGCTCCAACCAGTGTATGAGCAGGTATTATTAGTCCCACTTCACAGACACACAAAGTGAAACCTGAGACGTTGTCCCAAAGCATTCAGCCGTAAACAGCGACACAGCCCAGGTCCGTCTGACCAGCTCCAGCGGCACCCAGTTAACCCCTGTGTGATACGCACGCCTCCCCACATGTCTCTGCCTCAGGGATGCGACCCCATCCATTGCTTAGACTACCCACTTGAGCATGGAAGAAGTCCTGTAGTCATTTATTGTAAATCTGGTCTCCCGAGTTTCTTGAGACAAAGGCTTGATCACATGTGTCCTTTGTGGTCCCCTGCAGCATGATGCCCAATTTCTTGTCAGCTCCCAACGGGGGAACTCAAGAATGTCATGTCCCTCCTTCTACCCCCCGGATGAGAGAAAGTCAGACAATTTTGCAGGTTCGTTTCACACTACCACTTTTTATTTTGAAATACTCTCTTCTAAGTGTATCGAATCAGAAACAAAGCCAGTAGATAAAGAACCAATTCTATTTATTGTCATATCTTTGTTTAAATTATAAACAAAAAAACCCCACACATACTATTTAAAAATTAAAGGGAAAACACCTATAATACCAGCACCTATAGCATTTTGGAATATTTTATTTAGTTGTTCCTTCATACGCACATTTCAAATAGTTATGATCAAGACATACATGCAGCCCGATCTGTGTAGCTCTGTGGTTGAGCATCAACCCAGGAACCAAGAGGTCATGAGTTTGATTCCTGGTCAGGGCACATACCCGAGTTGCAGGCTTGATCCTCTATCCCCAGTGGGGGACGTGCAGGAGGCAGTCAATGATTCTCTCATCATTGATGTTTCTATCCCTCTCCCTTCCTTTCTCTCCAAAAATCAATAAAAACATTAAT